ATAGATAGGCCAGGACAGAAAGAGGAGTGATAGTGTAACCGTTTTCGACAGAACGTTTGTCGAGAGATTGGCTTCACTTGTCTCTTTGACGAGTTCGTAGCTTGGTGCGGCAAATGGCAAAGCTCACTGATGATGCCGACTACGATGCCGGCGAAACGTTTGAGAATGTATCAAGTTCACTGTCAGATCCTGGGAATCATGACAACTACTATGGCAGACGACTTCGGACTAGGTGCGTTATACATAGTCGCCCTGACGACAAGACCAAGTTGCGACAACGAGGTCAACCCACTTCTCCGAGTTTGTTTAGGCAATATGCAATGTTTTCGCTGATCTTGTCTTCTTCAAGTCTCCTGTTCCTTAGATTTCTTTCAGTCAGCATATTGATGACTTCTTTTATCCTTCGTTTTCTTGCATTTTCACCATATGCAGCCGCCATTCTGTCGATTTTCACTCAATTTGATGTCCCATCCGTGTGTTATGCTATTTCGGATCTTACGTATACATTTCATCACAGGGTCTTTAATGTCCCTTGTTTCGCAGGCCGATTTTTCTTTCTGTTCCACCAATTTACTTCTCATCAGACTTGACGCATTTGATGCGATAAATTCCTGGGCAATCCATTTTGTCAATCTTCTCGTCGGCAGACTGGTGAAAAGTGTTGTCTTCTCCTTGGTTATCATCTTGATATTCCATTTTCTTAGTAAAGGTCGCAATTTTGGGCTCAGTTTACATGAAGGCAGGCGTATCTACTTTTGATCGCTTTCTTGCTTCCTGATCGGATTTTCATAAAACCGAGTTGAAATATGTTCTTTGTGACATCTACATTCCTTTCTATAAATTATCTAGGGTATCCGTTACTAAGGCAAGCCTAAGTCAGTTTGTTCAACTCCTCGTCTCATAACTCAGTATCCGTTGGTCCTAAGCTTTTGATGATCACAACCTGTAGTTATGATGAGAAGAAAAATTAAGGATTATTCCCACATGAATTTTTATCTTAATAGTCTCCTCATGAGTGTCTGGTTAAGGTGCATGACTTCAGCATTCAGAAAGGGTAGTCGTTCATCCTCCTCCACCTCCATTGTGAATTTAATCCGTTCATGGTTAATTAAATTGAGGAATTGCAACTAAAGTGCAAGATAATCATTAAGGTATCGCATAAACACTCTTGATTGCAGTGGTGACTTCTCGAATTCCACTTGCGATTTCTCCATGTATACATTTACCAAAAGAGGTGAGAGCGGAGATCCTATCGGTATTCCAAATATTGCCCCACAGATATTGCCGTTGAGTGTGAAATACGTGGTCCCTAGAATCAGGTTAATCAGTCTTGTAAACGACTCTTTCCGTATCCGTTCTGTCTCTATGATATCTTCTTCTCGCTCCAATATATCCAGCAAGGCGCTTACCGCCATCTCGCCTAAGATATCTGTGTACATGGACTGTACCAACAGTTCCGACCCCACCAACCCAATGTTCTGAACCCTTTGAGAAAATTCATAAGAATTCTTGACGGTATTTAAGAGTGTGTCATTTACTTTCTTGAACTCAAAGCAAATAAATTTCGCTAGCTTGTGTATTGCTCCATGCTTGTTGACTAGTAATCTTAGCAAATTTCCTTATTTGTTTATCTTCGGCAGTCCATAGGCTGTCGGTGATCTTGCGTAATTTTTAATTCAAGAGTTCATCATCCATCCGTCATTTTCTCCGTTATTATGCATTTCCTTTAGCGATCCTTCAGTGCCCCGTGATTGGACCCTTCCTTAGAATTTGATAAATGTTCCGGTCGCATAGGATACTCTCCATTTCTTCTATATACTGTTTCCTGTCCATTACCAGCGTCCCTCTTTAAGCAAGCAGACAATTTTTCCTGAGTGTGAATATACAAAAGAGCATAAGTAGTGGAGAGTACACCTCATAAACCAGCAATTAAACAACAATTAAATACGAAGATACTTACAACAAATAGATACTAATGCATTATGAGTCATTTGGTCATAAATCTCATAAAACCTTTTAGTCACTTAAACGTATATGATAAGCAGCAAGTGAAAAGGGTTAGCTACATTTAGAAACTGATCAATTCTAAAATTAAGGCCAAGCTTTAGCAAAAAGCAGAACCTAGAATGACAACGGGTAACTAAGTGGCAAATTACTATGGTATTATTATAGGAAGCATTTCGAAGTGCAGCCAACCCTTTTACTAAAATTAATGCACGAGCGAAAGGGCTGGAAGACAAGCAGATCAAGTAGCTAGTAGCCGCTAATTGAAATCGCAAAATGAATTTGTATAAGTTTAAAATACAATTTTATAAGATTTGATAAAAAGCAGTCGTCAAAAGCCTCAGTCTGGAGAGTTTCATGTGATAAAAAAAAGAGAAACAGATTTTGCGACCAAATAGATATGAGGTGCACGCAACAAGATAAAGAGTAGTTTTGCTCT